GCAAGATATTTTCGTATCAGAACTCGATTTCTGATTACTCCTTTTACAAAAATAGGCTTCACCTTATCGGAGGAAAATATTTTAAGCTTCGGTGCCTCAGGCTTGGGATACTGCCGGAGGGATGCCTTTGATGCGGTGTGTAATTTCGTTATATATACTCAACGAGTGCCATTTCAACCTGGTAGCTAAAATTTTTCGTCATTTCGTTAGGTTAAAACTTAAGTTTTCAAAATTATTCCTGTCAGGTTATGACGGCATTCTGTAATACGGGCTCAAAAGCATACTACTTGTAGTTAAATAGAATATGTTCTCAGCAGAGCAGCAGTTTGCACGTCTGTCTAATACTGCAGGCAGTTCGACCTGTGAAGAGTGCCCCAGGTTCACGCAAACTACATCATTCGAAAATGTCACCCATGTTGTTCGCCGCGAACTCGAAGCAATGGCTCCTGCAGTTATCGCTTCCAACGGCCCTTAAGATAACGCATCCACCGTCTCCCTCATCCAAGCCGTAGTTCGCCAAGAAATAGCAAATCTCGGCATCGCACCTGTTTGCACTGTTCGCACTACCAAGAGTTCGGCTTTGGTTAACCAGATTCCGGTGTACCCTGCACGCTACCCTTCCCGCTACTCCACTACGGCCTCTCTCATAATCTTATTGTGGTTTTGGGACGTTAAACCACACATACCTACCCTTCCCGCTACCGGAACCCTGCTGAATGGAGGACGTCGGATGATCGACCGATCTGCTTTCACTGCTCTCGCGCCGGAAACACTGCGTGCTACTGTCGCGATCGTTTGACGTCCAATTCATCCGGGAACACTGGGACATGGCGCCCGTTTGAACACAACTCTCGTCGGTTTTCTACTCGGTACGATCCCCAGCCTACTGCTACTAACCTTTAGGGCCGACGGTTCAGCCGGTCCCCATCACCCTAAGGCCGCCAATCTCTCTCGCCGATGATTCGTCGATTCAGGTTCCCTGCACGACCTGGGCCCTCAACCTCGGGAAACTAGACCATGCAGCTCCTGGAGGTGACGCTGTATTAACGACCCGGTCTGCAAACCCTCTGTTGACGATTCTTACACGCCGCAATATTTTGGACCTCTTGGTAGATGACGTAACCGTTGCAGCCCTCATAGACACTGGCACACAAATGTCAGTCATGAGCGCTGCTCTTTGTATGAAACTGCGAAAAGTGAGCACGCCTCCTCTTAAGTGTGCAGTAATGCTTGCCGATGGCAGTACATCTACCGTTCTCGGCATGTGCACCTCTCTCGTGTGTATTGCTGGCCGTCAGACTGTCGTATTGTTCACCGTGTTTGAGCAGAGCCCACATGACGTGATTCTCGGTCTCGACTTTCTGCGTACTCCGCCCTTATCGACTGCTCGACGGGCCTTCTTCAGTTGGAACTGCCTTTCGACGCCGCTGTGGCCCGTGATGCTCAAAGTCGCCTTTGTGCCACCGAGTTCCTGCATCTTCCGCCGCAAGCCGCGACTTACGTGCAGCTCGTATGTGATCCGCCTGTGCGCGATGGTGAATATGTCTAACAGTTAGTTCGAGTGCGAAAGCACGACACGATCACTCACACACGCACACACCCATGCATCAAACACATACAGCCACAAATGTCGTTCACCCATTGCCGACGATGTGCTAAAGCATTCTATTGCTGTCCCGCACACCGTCGTGAAAGGACGCCACAACTACAACTATTTGTCTCTTTTGAACTTTGGTTTCTCCGCTCACGTGCTGCATGCTCCTATTAAAGTGGGCGTCGTGTCGTCGTTGAAAGAGTGTGATATCTCTGAACTGTCAGCTGAGCAACCTACTCCTCACGCCAACTTGCTCACTGCTCCTAACATTTCAAGCATTGACATTGCCAAAATGATAGCGCGAGATCTTTCGCCCTCCGAAGCACAAGACCTCCACCGTCTCTTGACATCCTATGTGGACGTATTCGATCTAGACAACCGCCCTTTAGGCCAGACATCAGTTGTGACCAATCACATCAACACCGGTGATGCCAACCGAATACATCGCCGCCCTTACCGTGTCTCCACTGCCGAACGCCCTGTCTTCCAGAAAAAGTCGAGAAAATGCTCGCCAAAGGCGTCTTCGAACAATCATCTAGTCCGTGGGCATCCCCAGTCGCGCTTGTCAAGAAATACAACACATGGCGATTTGGCGTCGATAATAGACAACTCAACAAGATCACTAAAAAGGACGTTTACCCCTTACCAAGAATAGATTACGCCCTTGACTGCCCTCATGGCGCAAAGTTCTTCTTGTCCATTGACCTTCGATCTGGTTATTAGCAGATTGCTGTTGACCCACCAGACCGAGAAAAAACAGCATTTGTGACCCCCGATGGGTTATATCAATTTAAAGTAATGCTGCTTGGGCTTTGCAATGCGCCGGCCACCATTGAGCGCATGATGAATTCCCTTCTGCGCGGCTTCAAATGATCTACTTGCTTGTGCTACTTAGATGATATAATTGTTTTTTTCTCCGACGTTCACGAGTCATCTTGAGCGACTGTCCAGTATTCTCCAAGTATTCCGCAACGCTGGTCTCCAGCTGAACTCCTCCAAATGCTGTTTCGGCCGTCGCGAAATAACTGTACTTGGTCACCTCGTTAACGCACCTGGGGTACGGCCCGACCCGGACAAAATTTGCGCAGTGACTCAATTTTCCATACCTTCTTCTGCTAAGGATGTCCGGAGCTTCCTTGGTATGTTCTCCTATTTCCACCGCTTCATCCGGAATTTTGCCGATATTGCATGGCCTCTCACCGAGCTTCTTAAAAAAGACGTCCCATATACTTGGAATTCGCCTGAACGTGCTGCATTTTCGGCGCTCATTGCAGCCCTCACGACTACGCCAATATTAGCCCACTTCGATCAGAACACACCTACAGAAGTTTGTACTGTCGTGAGTGGCCACGGAGTTGGTGCTGTTTTAGTTCAGCGTCAGCATGGACGTAACTGCGTCCCCTCCTGACGCTGAGCTAACGTTTTGTAAAAGCCTATTTTTGTAAAAGTAGTAATTTGAAATCAAGTTCACATACGAGAATATCTTGCACATGTCAAAAAGTAATATGTGATATTTTCCCGTTCTTCGCAGAATTGGCAGAGGGGTGATATCATCAGAGCAGACCTGTACCAATAAAAGTTTAACGGGGGGAGTTAATGGACATCGAAATCTGGTGATCATCACTTCTGATTGCAGAGAATGGCTCCACTGCGATTTTCATTGATATTTTAGGTGATTATATTCCGTCCACTGGTTTGTGAAACAACAACAATATTATAACACATAGGAACACTAAACTTCAGAGGGATTATTTCCCGGTGATTTATCAAATTGCCCAGTGGTGAGAATTTCCCAAGGAAGCAAAATCCAGTCAAATCCAGTCATCTGGGAAAATAACTGTGTATGTAAGCATCAGTTTTTTTTTATAGTATAGGTGCCAATCATATCAATGACGTTCTCGGCGGGTAATTCTAACAGTGGCTGGTTCGCCACCACCGCAGGTGTCTGTAACCACTATTGCACGAAATAAAAAACTAAATAAAAACGCAAAGGACACAATGTCATTCTAACCAGGATCCCATGTGGGCTTGCCCAGTATTCTAACACTGAGCCACGCCCGTTTTTAGAGTTCATTTACAAACTGGCCTTAGGCCGGTTCGATGTCTGGAAAGGAGTCGCATGGATATGGGTAACAAAGCGTTTTGGAACACCAAACGAATAACCATGCATCGCGCAATGCCAATTGCGTAAAGGGTAGGCTGTCCGGTACTTCAATTCATTACAAAAGCTTGTTCTTGATCCCATAATAACTGTAGAACATTCCCACTTCAGGCATAATTCTTTGTCGTCGTGCTGGATAAAAAAATCTGCACAAAATGTCTTGCAAGTGTAAAGCGCATATCAAGCTGCTCCGAAGAATGACGAAGAAAAACATTGTTAATGGTGGTCTATACTACACAAGTATTATTATATATGACATTGTAGGTACCGAGCAAGGGTGCTTCAAGCAGTTACCAAAACAGCGTTAAGAAAAGGCTCCGGAAGGCCGCTCTTCTAGCCTCCACTGTGACTGTTCTGCGCGTTCTGCGCAGGCTTGGCGATAATTTTTCAAGAAGCATAACATTTCTTGTTGTAAAAGGGTGCCATATGACTGCAGCCTATTCATATTCAGATCAAATGAAAGTGCTATCATACGCCAAAATGCCATTATACGAAGCGCTTTCGGGCTAATGTATGTTATGTGGGGTGTCTAAGTAAGGTTGCAGTGAGATTAATGCCTAAATATTTTTATAGTTGTCTACACACAGCACATGACTATGGTAAAGGTTATGCGTAATAGAAGTTATGTGAAATAGAAGAGTTTTCTCACAGTTCAGCCCCATATTGTACACACTGGATCAATGAAATTGGGCCGTAAGAGCTCTCTGCAATACATTTCTTTGATGAGTAATAGAAAATATGACCTTGAAAATATACAACGTTAAGCAAGTCATCGAAAGCTTACATACTGGGTCAAGTCATCGACCACGTGACACCCATAAATTTTAAATAAGAGTAGACCCTAGAAACTTCCCTGAGAAACACCAGCGCTTGCATGGAGCACTGCAGACACAGAACTGTTTTTCTCAGAGCAATCTGTGCGTGATTCGTGCTTTCAAACGTGTGTGAAAAAGCTAAAATTGTTACATATTAGTCCGCAACATCGTCATGATATAACATCAAACTGGAGTGAAACATAAATATAAGATAGTTCAGGAATCACAGAGACCATCAAAAGAAACAATGGCACACCCAGTAGTGTCGCTTGATGGGCGAGTTCGTGCTTCCTTAAATTCGAAGAAATGTGCTAGAACGTTCAAAAAAAGAGAAAAAAACTAATATACAAAAGCAGACAGTGCAGAGCCACCTCTGTGTTCACTCTCTCTGTTTCTGCTTGTCAGCTTCTTTCTTTTTCGACGTTTTTGCGGTTTTCTTCGAGTATAAGAATAGAAGGTCAGCCAATATATTGCTGGGTGCAGTCACGCAATCCTCTGTTACAGGCTTCTTAAGAAGAACCCACTGAAAGTCTGAACAGCACTCGTTGACGCAGTTTGTAGATTAAGGAAACGTGGCTGTTTTTTCACCCGCCGAAACCCGAACACTCATCGGATCTCACAGCGCTGCCACGCTTAGACGAGGACGCATCATAGCAATTTGCGGGCTCAGAAGCTCACCCGCACAGCAACAGCAAGCGCCAGCTTCTTTCAAACTTAGGAACGAACGAGAAAGAAGTTATCGTTTCGGTTTTTGATTGGCGTGTAGAACACTCTAATACCTACCGATTCCCGTGGCGTGTCTTTCAGTTAGGCTGAAGTTCCGGTGGCAGAAAAGTTTGATCCGCATCGATTTGAAATGCGACAAGGCAGGGGCACAGCAGGCGACTGTGCGATGACGCACCAGCTGTTCGTGGAAGCAACAGTGACGACGGTTCCGTCTGATTATCGCAACTGACTTCCGTGAGGGAAGCTCTAAACCATCTAAGGAGGTGTAGGCTGTTATGTCCAGCACGTGGTTTTCTACCTGTATCACCGCTGTTCGTGCACTAGTACTATCACTGCAGCTCCTTCGCTAGCCTTGTATAGAACATATTTGAGGATAAGCTGGCAGGCACACTCCGAGTACAAGTAGAAAAAGTAATATTCAAAGCACTCGCATTTTTAAAATACATTTGACAGTCAATGCGATCTACTAAAAAAGGTTAGGCAGCGTTTTCATAACAGATTAGTCTACGAGCTAAGGCAGTATTTCGGATTAAAGTATAAACATTTACACCAGCCATACTTCTGCACGGTGGGTGTCTGACCATGGCCCAATTCAGCGCTATTTTGCAGAATTTCAGCATGCACTAGTTCCATCATCCTGTCCAAATGCTCGATGGGAGCTTGGTTGCTGAAGACTGTGAAGACGGCTGAAAGAAACCATGAACCAATGTTTTCATCCCTGAGTGCGCTGTGGCCGGAGATGACAGCGTATGCGATGTACATATCAGACCAAGTGGCCGTGCGTTCAGCGAGCTGCGACTCTTCCGCTGCTTCTGGCGCGGAATCTGTAGCGACATCCTTGGTGATGCCGGCTCCACTGCCCTCTTCGTCTGCACAAAATTCAAGCAGTTAAGCAGCAAAGATCGCTTCCGTTATGAATGAGAAAAGGAAGCGATACAGGAAATCAAAGACGCTCAAAAGTGTTTGTTTACTGTACACTTACTAGCCCCTTGCTAATTAGTTTGCATTGAAGCTCTGGCGACTTAGAGTGAATGTTGAAATGAGGAGCACCTTAGGAGGCGAGGTTGACTTATGCACCGGTCGTACGCTCTAGTCATCGTTTGGTGTAAGGCATGCAAAACCGCAAACAACATGGCCAGACTGTTAACAGCTGTTTTTCCCTTTCATGCAGCGCACGCTCGCACGAAAGGGAAGTTGTCTACCCTCCGTTCTTTTAGTCCCTCGAATGCAATATTAGGTAGGTAGCACCTTAGAGGCGCGAGTCGTCATGTGCACTCGTCGTTGATAGCAACGCCGGCAAAACGACGTATCAAAAATATAATAAAAAAGCAAAAAAGCGCGAAACAAAAAGAGAAAGAAATATATGAAATTGCGAATAAAAATATAATGAGCTGTAAACGACAGAAAAAAACTACGGAATAGAAGAACAGAAGGATTCCTGGAGGAAAGAAAAACAAAACCGAAAAGACGCAAAGACGGCTACCCACCTACACACTTCCTTTAGGCTTGGCACGAGTAGCACGAATCTGCCTTCATTTTTTGCTCAATTTTTGTTGAACTTGTTGATTAAAGGCTATCAATGAGATGTAAGGTACGCATATTTCGCTCATTTTCAAGTATCACGAAAATGTAACCAACTAACGAAGCTCACCTGAATACCGCAACTAAGCTGGCTGATGAATCATTGCGCGGAACTTTCTGCAAGTTTTGTGCCTAGCTATTTCTCCGACGCATTTCACTTGGCAATAAAGTGACCTATAGGCACATTGCGGACAAATGAAAACACAATACTTCAGGGACTTCTCGAGAACATACATTCATTTTTAGCGTCTCTGGATTGTTTCGTTAAGACGTGATTTCGACTCGAACACTTAGGTGAACAGCAGTACTACATCCATAGTTTGAATTCTAAGAGTTTCGGCTTAATGTCTTCATCTGTGAGCAGTCTACTCACGCCACCAAACCGCCGACGACTAGACTATGAGTACAGTGGTCAACTCTCATGTCTATCGCGACAGTGCATAGCGCTTGAGACAGCACGAGCCACATCTGCAGTCACCGATGCGCCACATGTGAGCATGCGCGGCGCCAGTGATGTGGCTGCTTTTCAGTTTACACCCTTCTTTATCTCCTCGACCGCGACGACTGCTTTGGCCGTCGAAGCGCTGTCAACATTATAGAACTTAAAGAAAAAAAGAAACCAGCAGCAGAAACCAGCCCGGGTAAGCGCCCTTTATATTCTGAACTTATCCTCGCTTTGTGATATCATATCACATTGAGAACAGTTAGCTTTGTTTTTTTTTAAAGATTATAAGCCTTTCATTGGGTACTTCGACACGAAAATTTTGTCTGTTTGTCTGTGTTTCTGTCTCTGTAAGATGAAATTTACTCACACGAACAGTGAACCTCAATCACAATTCAACAAGACATCGTGTCAGTACACAACATCCACGGACACACTAGAAATTTTACAAAAATATGTGTTTACATATGTACAGGGAACAAAACATACACAGATACACAACAATCCTTACAAAAAGATGTTATAAATATAAACAGTGCCAATATTTACGAAAAGGAACACGTGAGCGCGTGGCCTACGCGCTCCGGCGGCTGCTGGCAGCGCGCTCAAGCGAGAGCGAGAGCAACCATACTCTTTTTTTGCGCCATCTCGCGGCGAGCAAAACGATCATTTGTTGCTGATTCGGAACTAGCCACATGATTGCGACCCCCTTCTACTTCAAGGCAATTGCGCGAGAGCTGGTAATTACCTTGACAGGGAGGGGGTTGCAATCTTGCCAGCGGTTCCACATCAGCACTGACATTTTGTTTTGCTGGCTGCGAGATGACGCGAAAAGAGAATGTGGTTTCTCCCGCTCCCGCTTGAACGCGCTGCCAGCATCCACCGGAGCGTGTAGGCCACACGTCGCCGTGTTCCTTTTTATTAAATTTGACACTGTACAATACGTGATAAACGAAGAACACACAAATGAAATGTAAAGATCTATATGTTAGGTATTTGCATATTATTTACGAGGTATTTGTGCAAGTACTAAACAAACATTAACCTACCAAACCTGGCAGGCCTGAAAACAAGCTTTCCACGTCTCTCGCTGACGAACACAAAATGGCAGGACCAGTGTCGAAGGAATTCCTCCTCACCCCAAAATAAGAGTTCCTCCCACAAAAGAGATTGTATTTCTTTGTACAGTCGCTTCAAAATCGGGAAGAAAGCGTGACAGCGACGACCTACTGCAACCGCCTCGCAGTGATTGCGCTAAGGGCAATAAGCATCAGCAAAAATGAGAAGGCAGGCGAAGCGGCCTGGAGAATAACGGCTACAAGAGACAAAACTATTTTTTCTGAGGCCGTGAAATCCAGCATGCATGGCCCTCTAGAAAACATGAGTAATGACGCATTGTCTTGAAACGTGCTGATTTGTTTCCCGTAGGCAGCAGTTCGGGCATGTTGCTGACTGGACCTTTCGAGGCCCTCAAGGGTAGGAAGAACACGCCACCCCAGCCGCCATATGAAGTCTCGGAGGTAGCCAGGGAGAAATGATGTCGTCAGCGTGCTCAAAGACACACGAATAGAGCGGGTGTGGTGTGCGAGATGAACTAACGGGAGCAAAAAAAGCGGCTTTTGTGTCAACGATTGGATGGTCCAACAGATCTAGAAGAGGGCAAGTCTACTGGATATGGTGAAAAACTGCAGAAGCTGTTGCAAAAAACGAAGGAAATGTTACTGATTTTGGGCCCCGATTAGGATTCACATTAGGCAAGAAAAACCGAAGATGAGTGCCTAGAAAATAATATGCCATATTTCGCGTGGAAGATTCCTCTCCTTGTACGAAGTGCAACAGGAAGCGCAGGGCCAGTAGCCGGCAGCGTATCGACACCGAACGGAAAGCAAAGTTTCCCTGGGAAAGCTGCTGTCCTTACACCGCAGGAGAAAACAACTCAGTGCCACCGGACCAAAAAAAGAAACACAAAGCAAACTGCGAAAACCTCACGATGTGTAAAGGCGGCTGCTTCACGTGAGAAAGCTACCAAATGCAACCGCAAAACACAGTCTGCGCAAGGTACCTCCGCTCAAGGAGAGAAAAGTCGAAATCCCGTGCGTTCTCAATTTTTCGTTTTATTTCGTCAATGGCGTTTGACCAAACGGAGTTAAAAACGCCATAGTGGGTAATCCTTTTGCGATTGTCAATTAAAAAATCAATAATTGCGCATACCTAAGGTATCTTAAAAACACGTCAATATTTAGTATGTATGCCTTTATACTAGAGAAAGCATACAGAAGTAATTTTAAGGAATGTAGCATTTACCACGCTCCGCTGACATACAACGGAATGCTCAAAAAGGCAATTGTTTCCAACGCTTTGCTAAGAAGTGGAAACATTGTAGTGGCACCGGCCCGTCGCTTTGCGTTTTACACCTTACTGCCTTCGAGACAGGCGCGCACACATTCCTTCGTTTTCGAAGATAACTGCCAGATAGCACTCGTATCTAATGAGCCTCGATGCGCTCGTTCACCTTTGGTGCACGGATCAAGACTGTTTAACGCAGCGCCTCCAGAATACAACTCACCAATTTTCTCGCGCATAACATCAAATGAACGTTTTGCTCACTCTCTCCACCAAAATTTATCGTCTTTCGACGACATTTGCAGTGAAACATATAGATATGGGGCAAATATTTCGCTTGCTTTTTTTGTTTCTTCGCTAAGTCGATCAGAGCGCTTCCGACAGCCAAAGCACTTGTTGCACCCGCGGTGATAAACAGGGATCAGTATTGCACGGCAGGCATATCACTATTGGCGCGCATACTCAGATGTGGCATATTTGCAGCTGTAAATTTCGTTCCTGCTGTTTAGCGTGCGACGCTCAGTCGTTATTGACCTGAGAGTTGAGCACAGTAAAGTGCTGGTTTTTATGAAAAGGAACACGGGAGCGCATGGCCTGCGCGCTCCGGTGGCTGCTGGTAGCGCGTTCAAGCGGGAGCGAGAGCAACCACACCCTCTCGTCGCGTCATCTTGCGATGGGCAAAACAACCGTTCGTTGCTGATCTGGAACCAGTGGCAAGATTGCGACCCCCCCCCCCCCCCCCTTTGATGCGATTACGCGAGAGGTGGTAATCGCCTTGAAGAGGAAGGGGTTTCCAGCTTGCCGTTCTGTATCAGCAACGAATGGTTGTTTTGCTCGCCGTCAAACGACGCGAAAAGAGACTGTGGTTGCTATCGCTCCCACTTGAACGCGCTACCAGCAGCCACTGGAGCGCGCAGGCCATGCGCTACCGTGTTCCCTTTCATAAAAATTGACACTGTACATTAGGCGCATAATCTACGCTCATTCGTGCGCATATTTGGCGCAACACAGCACCCAATTCACACTCTCTCTTCGTCGCCTGCTCGAGCGTTTTTATGGAAAAGAACAACAAATACGTAAATAAACAAATCAGTTAAAACAGTGTGGAAATACAGGGACAAGAAATCTGCATGCAGGTGTCAAATACTATATATGCACATTGGTCCTGCAGATAGCACCTACGCGCATGGATTGCTTTCAAGTTATGGTGTAGGTAAGAAGGTCTGATAATAAACAAGGACTCACCAATGGGAGCACAACAAACATAAACAGCGGAATATAGTTGTTTTTTTTGTGTGTGTGTGTGTTCCAGAAACCTCAAATGCGTCACATTTAAACAAAAGTGGGCGAATCGCTTCTACCAGAATGTGTAGCCGACAGTAACTGAAACAGTGACGTATACTTCCGCAAACGCTAGAGCCGTTTCCAGACCATTGCCCTGATAGTACTTTAGTTAAAATGTGTGTACACGAATTACTGTCGTATAAATTCAATAAATTGTGT